AATAGCAATGGCCTCCAACCTAATGGTGATGGCCTCCAACCTAATGGTGATGGCCTCCAACCTAATAGCGATGGCCTCCAACCTAATAGTGATGGCCTCCAACCTATGGCGATGGCCTCCAACCTAATGGCGATGGCCTCCAACCTAATAGCAATGGCCTCCAACCTAATAGCAATGGCCTCCAACCTAATGGCGATGGCCTCTAACCTAATAGCAATGGCCTCCAACCTAATGGTGATGGCCTCCAACCTAATAGCAATGGCCTCAAACCTATAATGGCGATGGCCTCCAACCAAATGGCGATGGCCTCCAACCTAATGGTGATGGCCTCCAACCTTATGGTGATGGCCTCCAACCTGATACCAATGGCCTCCAACCTAATAGCGATGGCCAACAACCTAATGGTGATGGCCTCCCAATGGCCAATGGCCCCAAGCTAATGGCAATGGCCTCCAACCTAATAGCAATGGCCTCCAACCTAATAGTGATGGCATCCAACCTAATGGCGATGGCCTCCAACCTAATGGTGATGGCCTCCAACCGTAATTGTGATGGCTTCCAAGCGATGGCCTCCAACCTAATAGCGATGGCGTCCAACCTAATAGGGATGGCTTCCAACCTAATAGTGATGGCCTCCAACCTAATAGAAATGGCCTCCAACCTAATAACGATGGCCTCCAACCTAATAGTCATGGCCTCAAAAACTAATAGAGATGGCCTCCAAACTAATAGCGATGGCCTCCAACCTAATGGCGATGGCCTCCAACCTAATAGCGATGGCCTCCAAGCTAATAGGGATGGCTTCCAACCTAATAGTGATGGCCTCCAACCTAATAGAAATGGCCTCAAACTAATAGAGATGGCCTCCAAACTAATAGCGATGGCCTCAAACCTAATGGCGATGGCCTCCAACCTGTTTGCGATGGCCTCCAACCTAATAGCGATGGCCTCCAACCTAATGGTGATGGCCTCCAAGCTAATAGCGATGGCCTCCAACCTAATAGTGATGGCCTCCAAGCTAATAGCGATGGCCTCACACGTAATCGCGATGGCCTCCAACCTAATGGCGATGTCCTCCAACCTAATAGCCTAATAGCGATGGCCAAGAAGACTTCACCCCTCTGCACGCTGTGCCACTCCAAGTTGCATCTGAGCACAAGGTTTCATCCTTCTGAGTAATAGCTTCTTGTTTCTACTAGTAAGGCACTTGTTACTACTAGCGATGCACCTGTTACCAGTAGCCTCTCATGCATGTTTCCAAGTGGCCCAGAAGGGCTTCTTCGCGGCATCACTGGTATTGCTCCGGACCTTGGGAGAGCGCCGCACCGCCTTTCGCTCAGTGCGTGCGACGTCACATCAGGACGGTTTTGGACGGTGGAAAATGGATCCCAACTGATAGAAAGAACTACCTGCCAGGACCTTCAGTTCGTGACCCCCTTGGAGTCTGCAAGTGACCTCTTCAGGCACGATTCGTGACCTCATTCTAAGATCTCAAAAGGTCACTTTGAAGGTCCTGGTGGTCGTCCTTTTTTGCTGCCTGGAAGAACTGGTCAGTCTCAGCTTCTAATCCTCCTGAGTTGGAAAGAACACATGTCTCTTTCAAATGCTCTCACACTGCTCGCTCTCATCAGAGATCGTGGACTCGTGGCGTACATTTTTTTGTAGTAGTGGGACTGGTCTCGGACCATCCTATGACCGATGGGCAAGGGACTCATTTGCGACACCAAATCTTACTCATTTGCGACACCACCACCCCCCTGTATTCCTCTCATGTACGACACCAAATCTCTCTCATTCGCGACACAGACACATACACACATATGATTGCAAGCATTAGGTTGGGTGGGACATTAGGTTGGGGTGGGGTGGGGTGGGGCATTAGGTTGGGTGGGGGGGGTGGGGGGAGTTTAGGGGTGGGGTGGGACATTAGGTTGTTGGGCTTCAGAGTTTAGAGTGGCATTTGGTGGAATTGGTGTGGAGCTGGATTGGAGCTTTATGACTTTATGAGAACCAAGCAAGGGCCCAGAAGCACACAGATTCTCTAAAAGAAAAGCTCTCCGCGTCACAACTGAGAAAAGCTCTCCGCGTCACATTCGAGACAAAAAACGCGTCACAACCGAGACCCTTTCCTGACCGATGTCCCACTCGCTGATGACTGGTCTCGGCCAAGGAGCAAAGCGCCAGTTCTCATCATAATCCGCAGTGGCAACGACTGAAAGCCTCAGGTGATTTGACATCGACAGACCCCCCTGTTTGAAATCCCCAATGGAGGTGTAGAATGCGTCGATATTTGTTAATTTGCAGGCAAATTCCATTCCTTTCCATTTAGATCCCACATATCCCAGTCATTTCCTGTACAGATCGACCTGTCGACGCCGCACATCATTAAAAAAACATATATTTCATGATGATAATGTTGATGCTGCAATACACGATCATATAATATGATAATGTTGAATGCTGATGTAATACACGATATCACAATGATAATGTTGAATGATGATCTAAAACTATTGAAACATGATCATGTATGATAATGTCGAATGATGATGTAATACACGAGGGTCCCACATCAGATCTCCATGTGATTCATACACTGTGGTAACACAACAATCCCTGGCTGACATGTCTTCTCGGGACGCCCTGAAGATCTGTGAAATATCCTAGTTTTCCCAGGTAGAATTCATCTGGTAGAATGTAACATCACTTTTTTGCCACTGGCCGCCTGAAGGAAAAGAGGTGCTGTCCACAGGTCTGCTCCGGTTTGCAAGGCTCCCAAAATCTCAACGCCTCACAGCCTGAAGGTTGTCATGCAGCTTGAGGGCTGAGACAAGGGGTACACATGGGATCACATGGGTACAGCTACACCTCTTGTAGGTTTGGGCACACATGCTTTCTTCCGAGTGAACATCCACAAGAGCAACCATCTTCCGCCTCGGGAACCTCTCCGAAATGGGGATTGACATACATGGACATACATTGACAAAAACAGCGTCCTTTCCAGCCTTCCAGCTACGACCGGCCCCCCAAAAAGAAACAGCCTGCGACCGGCCCCGTCTACCTCAACCCACGCCGGCCCCGTGACCTCGTTTCTGCCCAGAAACACCTCGAAGCGACCCATCAAGTAGTCTCCACCGCCGTTGGTCGCTCCATGACCTGGGTGCTTGGCGCCGGGGTGACCGTTACAGGGCTCACTGAGGTGACATGGTGACCGTTGCAGGCGGAAGGTGAGGAACAAAAGAGTCCCTGGTGCATCCCTGGGCACAGCCTGTGGTATTTCGAGGTGTCTTCATGATTTGGCAGCCCAAACTTAGCTTTGGAACGGTGACCGGGACGGCCAATATCAGCCCAACGGTTCGGAAAGAGCACACCCTGCTCGCAAGAAATTAGGAAGAAAAGAAGCAAACACACACTCACACACACACAGCACCTGAAAATGAGGAAAGCACCAACCGCGCCATACTTCTCACAGCCTTACGTGTGACCTTTCATTCCGAAACACCAAACGCAAAAGGTGGCAGGAACAAAGATCTTCCGTCCCAATTTGGGCCCAAAGGGGAATATGGGTATCCCGGCAACCCTCAGTCCCTCAGTCGCTCCCTCCAAGCAGCTAGTTGTTGGAAGCAAACTGATGTTAAAGAAAAACCTGCAAACCTGTTGATCTCCGTCGATCATTGTCCGGGGTCTTCCGGAGTGCCCAACCTGTAACGGAAATTCCAGCGATTCCGATGGGTGCTGCCATGCCACCTGCAGCGTTCACACCCTCGTCACTGAAGAGGAACACCTATAGAAGGCGTGGCGAACAGCATGGCAGCCGACTCAGCCGACCGACGTCCGAGCCGCTTTCCGATACCTCACCGGTTCCGATGTCACAGCTGAGGACGGAGGACCGCGAGTGAAGCAGCAGAAAACAGCAGAGTTCTTAAATAGTTCAAGGGACCTGGTCGGACCTGGTGACCTGGTCTTGTAGTCTAAAACACCCCAGACACACTTACATTTGAGGGATCAATGTAGGCATATATCATATATGGGTGTCTGGGATAAATCATCCACCACGATTCTTGAAGTGTACCTGCTAGTTCGGTCACCTGGGTCACAATTGAAGCTGCAAAACACCTATTGAACACGGAGTTCAATTCGAACATTCGGTGTCAACCCGCACCTGCAGGCTACAGAAACCCAACAAATCAACACCTCCCTGAACTTTTGCCCATCTTCGAAAGCCTCTGCTCTCATTGGTTTTTGTCCTGGAAATTGAATTGTAAATTGGCAGTTAGATGTCCTGCATGGAAAAAAACCATGTCTGACCACATCCTAAACACATCAACCAAGTGTGATTCAAACCTAGTGTCCACGCAACAAAAAGGAAATTGTTAACCCAGAGTCAACCCATGCTTATACAACCCAAACGTCCGTCGTTCATCCTTCTCACCATATCCACGTTCTTTGACAATTCCCCTCCCAGTCCAAACTCTAAATCCTAAGCTAACTGACTATCTCGATGTACCCACATGTCATGACATGTCTCAATCCTAAGCTTAATCGTCATCATCTATAATCATTATAGTATAAATATAGTAACAATAATAATAGTAATAGAAATCATGATTATCATCATCATCATCATCATCATCATCATCATCATCATCATTCGTCACCGTACTGCGTACAGTATTTTCCTGAATCACTGGCCCTTTGCCTCCATCCAATACCCGGTCCATCCGGCACCCAAAAAACCACACCACATCCGAGAAAAAAACAGAAACGGGGCCACACGCCTGCCGGCTGTGCACCGGCACCAACGCACCGGGACTCACGGGCTGTCCGAAGTGCTGGAGACCCAACTCCTGCGGTCGACCCAACTTGTGACCTCTCGAGGTCGTCCGCGGAGGTCCAAACCCTCCGGTCGTGGTGGTTTTACGTGTCGGGTCGTTGTCCCGGAAGAAAACGCCAGGCCTGGCCCGGGAGGACGTGACCTGTTGGGACTGGCAGTATGGCCTCAGCCCAGATGACCTTCTTTTCAAGCCAAATCGAGGTGATATCCCTATAGGCCTCCAAGTACCTTCTGAGAAGGTGTTTGGGGTGGGTTTGGAGGATCCAAATACCTTGCGCGAGTCCCGCAGAGTGTCTGATGTCACGAAGGGTCTGAGCTGGACCCTCGAGGCGTTGGTCTTCATCCTAACCGAGGGAAGCTTCGTTTCGATCTGAAGATCTCCCCAAGGCCCGCACGACCACTCTGACTTCCGAACTCTTCTGGCTGATCCCCGCGCATGTTCAGCAAGGGCCAACTGCTCCAATGTGTCAAACTCAAGTCCTAATCAGCGGAAGCTGGCTGAGAATTAAAGTTGAACCTTCTTGAACTCCGCGGACCGCCCGCCGATCGCCCGCAATCACGCAGCACTCGCACATCGATGGCGCCATGGGATCTTGAAAAACCGGGGTTCACCCTCGTTGACCATGGAGAAATGAACCTACCATGGACGACCCGAAGGAGGTCAACCTACCAAGGTGTCTCACCGAACCTTGGCTCCGTTTCGGCCGAAGGAGGCCATGACCCGACCAGCCGGATGTGTTGCTCGCTCTGTTTGCCTTGGCCACTTTCTTCTTGGTTCCATCGCGGATCCCATCACCTTAGGCCAAAGATGGCCAAAGGAAGTGAGCCAAAGACCGAAGGGAGAGGTGTACAAGACCGATGCGCACGACAGGTATGCTTTTGAGCTGCACCCCTTTGGTCTTGCCCAGTTCCTCTGACATGTTGGCTTTGTTGACTTCCAACATGTATCAACAAGCGTCAAGAAGTAGGTTCTTCAACATTCTCAAGATCCAAGTTATTGCCAACCCGACGCTGGTGCGGCCGAGCAACGCACACGGTCACTGGGGAACTGCAAAGGAGGGAACTTCTTCACAGGTGAGTTTAGCCTCGCAGCGCTAAACATCTGCGATGGGGACATCCACGTCGGACGGCGGGGATAGGGACGTCTACGTGGCGAAGTCCGGGAAGTCTGGTTTCCCAATGCTTTCGTTTCCACTGCACCCAGGGTTGGACTAGCTTTGTCGACAGCTCGCAGTGGAATAAACAAGGAAAACCGGCACTTCCGCGCCGGTTTCCCCGACACGCCATGGAAGTCCTGCACGTCGCTTCGATGGGAGTCGCTGGGTTCCGCGGAAAAGGATGTGTTGAATCTCAGGCCCATTCAGTGATTTCAGGCCCATGGCCCATGTCACCGGGGCACTTTGTATGTTCCGACTCCAACTGGACGTAATTTCTTCAACTCCAACTAGACTTCAGTGACTCGGAGAGTTGGCTCCGGCGACCTGTAGAGTTCATCCACCAACTCAAAGGGCTCCGAGTTCGCCACACGCCGTGCCTGGGCGGAGCGTGACGGTCGCGGTCGGTGACGGCGAGACGTCGGTGGACGGGAGTTTATATGGAATTATCCATACATACAGTTACATACATACATTCTATAATATTCCATATACATTCTGAGCAGTGTTGTAGCAAGCATGAGCAAAGGTTCTTTCAAAAGTGTGGTGGTTCTTTCAAACGTGTGGTTTTCTTGGCTTTCTGGATCATACTCATGATCTAATTTGATCATTAAAATACTCATTATGCATGTGCCAAAGGACTTTACAAGTACCAGAAGGTGTTTTGACCCCTGAGTCTTCACGGAACATGTATACACGGGCTCTTCGATGCTTGTGAGACCTCCCTGTCTCGAAGGAGAGGGGCCCGAAGCGGCTGAACCGGCTCAAGCTGCTGATTCTTGGGGCCCCTCTTCCTGGCAGAAGCACCCAACACCTTCTCAGAAGGTACTGTACCTGGAGCGTGAAGGGGAGGGGCAATTGAACCAACCATATACAGTACGTCCTTCATATATCCGTATTCATATTATATCGTTGACCTTCGAGCGCAGTGAGGAGGACAACGTCTCGCCCCCGAATGTCTCGCCAAGGTGCACCACTGCGCACCGTGGGGCTTGCGTCCGGGCGGGCAGACGGCCTGGAGGAGGCCGTGGCCGTCTGACCAACCGTCGTGTGGTGTCCGGTGATGGAAAAGAAAAGCATCCCCTGACGACTCCAAGTCATGTTGACACGATGAGTCACCCCGGTCTCCTGGTGTTCCACCTCCAGGCCTGGAGTGCTTTTACTCAATTACACCATGACGCCGACCTTTCTCATGAAATCGGATGAACACCGATAGTTCGGCGAGATCGTATATCATATATCATATAATCTGAGATTCGTCATCCTTTCGGAGACACCATGGCCAACCTGGGGGTGCACCTCGCACTTCAAGTTGGTGCAGAGCAATCCGAACGCCATACTTTCAAAAGTAAGTGAACTTTCCCAAAGTCAACTTTGGATAGAACGTCATACGTCATACGTTCCTGAAGAAACCTTCGTTTTGGGCGGGGGAATCACGGACATCGGAGTCCCCCTTTTCAATTCAGGTCATGAGTAGTTTGTTCTATCGCGTGGGGCGGGGCTGGGGGGTTGTAGTTCTTTCTGACTTGATCACATGATTGTTAGGAGCCTAAATGAAAAACTGTCTGATTGGCAGTGACAAGGGGGTTTCTGGTGGGTGTCTTGATCACTCAAACGAGGTCTCTTTTCTCCTACGTCCGACACACTGCCCCCTCCACCATCCCCAACACATCCGGTTCATGACCAGTTTCACTCTTCAAATTTGATCGAGTGTGTCTGTTTCCAGCTTTGGAACTGCTTCACTTCAGGATTATCCCCAAACAAAGGAGCAACACTCCATTTCGAGCGGCTGGCACTCTTGCTTTCGAGTTCAGTCCGACTGCTCCCACCAAACGTCCCATTTCAAAAGGAGACACAGCATACTCTAAACCTCACTTACAAAAGCCTCAGACTTGATCATAAATCAGATCCAATATGGTCAAATTCTAACCTCGAGCTTCCGTTCGTGACCGAACTTGATCCCCTGGTTGGTTCGGTCACAAACATAGGCTTGTAAGTTCGGTCACAAACAGGACTCCCAAGTTCGGTCACTGGGAGGGTCCCTCTCTCGTCTCTGCCCGCCTGGAGTCCAGCAGCTGCCCTTCCACCGGCCGTGGCGAGGTGTGCCCCTCCAGCAGCCGCCCCTCCACGGGCACCGCAGAGGCCCCTCCCAGCTGCCCCAAATATGCGGGCTGCGAGGCCTATGCGATGCGCGTGGATGCATGTGTGTGCGTTTTATGCGGGGGGAGAGAAAAAAAAAATGACTTCATACTTTTGGTGAAAGGATTTGGGGATCAAAAATGGTCAAAGGATTTGGGGTGTGTGCATGCACCTCACCCCCTTCCCAAAGCAAAGGATTTGGGAGTGGTTACAATCATCTTGCTTCACACATGGAAGAATCTTCCTCTTGTGTCACTTTGATCGGTGACTGGACAATGGATAGGTTAATGGTTAGCACAAAAAAGCTAAAGACATGTACTACAATATCGTATAGCACCGTATAGCCATATACAGTAGCTCTTTGCTAATAAGGATACAGGGCCATCTTCTGCACAGAAACTGAATCCTCTTCTTAAGGGTCCTATCTCCTGAGCTTGGCCCCAAATCATCATGCCAATCCATTCTAACCAATCCCCAACGACGGTGAATGCCAGACGGAACCGTCTTTTGCAAAAGACAGAATCAACTACAGTAGACTACAGTATAATATTACATTATATATATATATATTGATTTATACTTGTGTACATTGTTAAAAAAAATATACATAATATATATATATATAAATATACAAATAGTTGCATCTTGTGTACAACATTTTCCCAAAAGGACCGGTCCAACTGAGTCCGACCCATCCGTTTTCTCTCCTGGAAACCAGGTACGACCGGTGGCGACCGGCGCGACCGACGGAAGCCGACGCCTGCGATGCCCAAAGCGCCATGGCCGGCGCGCCGCGGAAGCGCCGTGGGAGGGAAGAGAGCGCGGAGTTGGCGGAGTTGAAGTGTTGAAGTTTTGAAGAATGACACTGAGACCTTTGAATGCTAGGCTGGGCTACCCCTGGAAGTCCCCATTGACTTACAGTACCCTCTCAGTCGTGGAATCAGGACTACCCATGGGTCAAATGAGAAAGTTCTAGGTATCTTTGCGATGCCAATTGTAGTTGACCACCAGCCACCAACATGTGTATTTCTATCATCACAGCTCTCTGTCTGCGCGCTTGAGTGTTACGGTAGTGATTTACGTTCTGGTCTTGCATCAGTGTTGCCTCAATGATCTTGACACCTTGTGCAGGGATTGTCGACCTAAGCACAAAGGATTGTCAAAGGATCATGATCATTCATTGTCTACAGGAAATCTACAGAAACACTCTAAAAAGAACAACTCAGGCTGGGAATATGCTCCTAGATGCTCCAAGTAGTACTTATGATCAAACCATGTCATCTTGTGTGCCAACCTTCGATCGCCCGGATCGAACCAAGAAGCCTCGGTGGAGTCCAGTCCAGTCAGTCGCGAGCCGGTCTCCGGTGTCTCCGCCCTCGGTCTCCGGTGTCTCCTCACTGGATTTACCGTTGAACAACGCGACCGAGACGACCGAGACGAAGGGGGGACCTCGTCCTTTCCTCAAGGCAATCCGCAAAGAACCTGTCTGTTTCACCCATGGGAGCCGGATTTGTAGGTCCATGCTTTGACCCAAAACCAACATCTGGGGATGCTCATCATCCTTCGGTGTCATATGCTCTGGCCTCTAGCCAACATCATCCGAGCCCACTCCTATGGAATGAGTGCCAATGTCCTTCCCCCAAGTGTCTACGAATCATCCACCTACTGTAGTAACCACACCCTCCAGTCAGCGCGATGCCGTCTCATGTAGATGACCGGAATTCATCTTGACCGGAGCCACCCACTCCACTGTCCAATCAGGAGCGCCTCCTTCGCAGTCTCCTCACGGAGTGGAAGGGAATTAGTTCGCAGTTGCTCAAACTGCGTTCTTTTCCCTTTGCTCCTAGTAGCGTCCTTGCTCCTAGTAGTAAGGCCCGGAGCCCCTAGTAGCGTCCTTGCTCCTAGTAGCGATGACAGGAGCCCCTACTAGTAGCTTCTTGTTCCTAGTAGCGTTCTTTAACCATTGGCGGGACATTTCGAATCCCAGAGGATGAACCCATCCATGCATTTGTCATCACAAAATGGCCCCTGTAGCATAAGGCATAAGTCATAAGGCAACACATAGCATAAAATCATTTAAAAACACATATCATCATACAACAATATACAACACCTGTTTAAAACCTACAGTATCATGTCAGAGAAACACCTGGAGAAAACAACGGAGAAACACCCTGCCTTCCCAGCAGAGCAGGAGGCTGAAGAGATCTCCAAAATGGGAGCCTGCAAACGTTTGGACCCGATATGCTGGTGAAACAAATACTGTAGGTTTGAGATGGTTTTAGCATTATCGCTAGGGCTCCAGCCACATCCTCAAAAGGTAGTTGGGGCCCCCTAACCCACCCCAACCACCCTCTCGTGGAGCCCTATATACAAACTACTGCGTGGATGTGATTATCTTCAACTCTCCAAGAGCTTGGCCTAGAACAGCCATCGCTTGGTGAAAGAAATCTGTTTCTTCAACAGCCCGTGGGAAATCTGTCCCTGAAAATGGATGACCATGGGACCAAATGGGATCAGTGGGCTGAAGGACTCCATTCCCCCAGCTACACATCAACTTCAAAGGAGCTGGGCAGGGAGATGATGATGAACAAATGTCAGGTGTCTACCTCCTTCTCGGAGCATGCGCTGACGCATTCGCTGTGATCTTTCTTGAATCATCCATTCCATTTAGTTTAAATAAGGTTGGTTGACCTGTCGGTTGCCCTTCCATTCGTCTCGAGAAACCCTCCAAAAAAATGGCAACGTCTGTGACCCGGTGTTCCGAAACCCATGACTGGCTCGTCTCAGCTGAGCTCGGTGCAAACCCCATGCTGCTCAAGAACTCCCCAGTGCTTTCAGACCAAAGCTCCAGCCTGAGGTCGGTCACATCCCGGGGTCAGTGGATGTCGGTGTGCCCACTGACCCGGTGGGTACCTGTCTCCATGCGAGCTTTAGAGGAGATAAGCTGTTTGATGCAAGTGAAACTCCTAGCTTATCTCCTCTAAAGCTTATCTCTCAGCATCAAACAGCATCAAACTCAGGAATGAGGAATTCAGTCCCACAAGCCACCGCGTATCCTCGAGTGTTACAAGCTGGTCGTCGTTACATCAGTCGCTGATCAGTATCTCAAGATCCAGCAACCGTGGGTTGTCATAGGGAAGAAACAAATGGTCCCCTTCTTTGGATCTGTGCCTCCCTGGTCTTGTCCTGTGTGTGCGCGTCTGTAGGGTCATTTTTGAAGTCGTAAGCTGAGCCACAGGCAATTTAAAGATAGACCCTAAGGGAAACAATAAGAAATCAACAAAGCCATCAATCAAGAAGAACAGGACCATTATAATCGTAATCCAACTAACTAATGGCTTCCGAATCCTACATTCACTGCATCATTGGATTGTACTATGGCATTTAAGGTATAGAGTTATATGATTTTACTGTACCATATAACAGTAGTTAGTGATTTTACGGCATTTTGGTTGTATTGAATTATGTTTTTACTTTCAACTACAGACTAAACTCCATCAATCTTCTGACCCCGAAGTCGAAGACGACCACCACATGCCTGGGAAGCCCCAACGACCACCACCTGCGATCTCCGGACATATGACCAATACTTGGAAGATTGTGGGAATCCCCGGACCCAAGCACCCTCGGACCCAAGAATAGATTCATCTTCTCATCTTGAGTTCCTGGGAGGCAAAATTGACGCCCCACCCACCCACCCACCCACCTAAAACCTGATCCCCTTCTATGCCGCTCAGGTACTGGGAGAGGTTGGCCGGATGGTCCGACAAATACCTCGGCGTCAGTGGTGGATTCCCATCCTTTCTCCCAACCAATGGCACCGGCTCCAAAAAACACGGCCACATGCCCGTTTCATTCCTCCACGGACGCATGGGCGTCTAGACCTCAGTCTCGCTCCTTCAGTCTACGTTCAAGGCTCATGTACGTGCGATGTGCTGTTGTGTTGTTCCCTGGAACCATACACTTAATATAAACTGAATATGTTTAGCATACGCACATTTTCAGGCGAGATACCCCTGAATGCGCCCACAGCGGAGCAGTAGGCTGCGCTGGGCTGTTTTCTGCGCCTGCTAGCAAAGCTGGCAAGGAACAACAAAGAGTAGCTCTATTTTTGGGGAGATGGCTGATCCATGAGAAATGATCATAGCTATTATTTATGTGGAGGGATCATATGATTGCTCTCTCTTTGTCACCAGATCCCTAAGAAATGTCATATGATCTTGACAGAAATCTGGATAGCGCTTGAGCTGCGCTTCCTTACGCTGCTGAGCCCATCAACGCTTCGGCCAACCAACCGGCCTACTGCCTGCAGTTGTCAGACCTTTTGGCCCTGAGGTTTTCTCTTGGCCCTGAACGTAAAGCAGCTGTGTTGATGTCGTTTGGCTTGTATAAGTATAAGCAGCTGTTTTGTGTGCCTGAACAGCATGCAGGACACATGCAGGACACTTGAGTTCAGCGGCCCTGACACCAGTATCAACCTTTCTCAAGGGACAATGGAGCATGAATTAATATATTTGATCATATAATCGCAAAATAAGCGCAGAAACCAGTTGGATCCCGAAGAGGTCTTTCTGAAAGCTCTCCCAAGAAACTCCAGTGATAGAGCCGCTTGGAACCCAGTAGGTCTGTAGAAAGAAGTAGATAGTAGAAATTAGTAATATATGCATTTTTATGCTATTATCTGTTCAGCTGGACAGTTTCAAACCTGGACCTCCACCCCAACTCACACCTGGCTCCGGATTCGCAAATCCACACGGGCCAGGGAGAGCACCTTGGCACAGGTACTCTGGTGAAGGAGTCGAAGAGCCGCAGCGAAGCGCCAAGGAATTCAAAGCGATTGTTTGCGTAGAAAAAAACACACATAAGACTCAAACGATGCGGCATTGGATGTGTTTTTTTCCCCGCCATTGCGCGCCATTGCGCCAGTCTCAGTCCCCCGGCCAAGCGCCATTGCTCCGTATCCAAAGTCCGCTCCTGGAGAGGATGAGAGGACAGACCCCGACCGGTGTTTGGGCACTCTGAGCACCGAGCAATCAAAATATCCAAGGGACAAATTAAAACTGATGTGTCACTAAAGCACTGGCTCAACTGCTGCGTTGGACCCACTGGGGAAGCAAACCCAGCTTTCCTTCGCGGAAGTGCTCCGGACCTCCGACGGAAGGTCCGAAGCGGCCGTGGTGTTGGGCGAAGAGGGGGTTGGGGTTTTCAACTCCAAGCGACTGGACCAAGGGAAGCGTGGATTCTACCAGCGCACGAACTAACTAACCCCCTTAAACCATCCATAAACCAATTGTACACTGCTGGCTCTCTTTGCACCAGGGCTCAAATACATGTTCTTTTCCTCCCTGCTGGCGGTCCTTGGGCGGCGGTGTTGGCACAGCCAGGCCATTGGGGCCTGAGAGCGATCAGGTGTAGACCGCAAATTCATCCGGAAGCCTCATCGTGCCCAAACTCCGCACACTCTCCACGTGACTGGCATTATATATATATACACGGTACGTACATTACATAAATAGTACAATTATAGTCAATTATAGTTATTTAATCTTATACTCACTATATCATCCCAATTTATCCTACCTCGTTGAAAAGAGGCCAATGTAGGCATGCCGGTCTCATCGGTCTTGTCTAGGGTGGCTAGTGAAGCTCCAAAAACATGACTCAGCCAGCCAACAGCCGAAACTCCGTTGAACTCACTGATCAAATCATGTGCTTCCTGGACTCTCGTCAAGGTCAATACTAACATGAACAGTTCTTGTCTAGTCTAGCAACGTAGAGAGTCCTCTCCCCCTGCACAGTGTTTTGGAATCAAATCCCAATCGCGTTCTGAATTGATTCCAACGTCAAGAAA